CTTTCTTTCTTTCTTTCTTTCTTTCTTCTTTCTTTCTTTCTTTCTTTCTTTCTTTTTTTTTTTTTGCATTAGCAGCACTGATTCTGTGAAAATGATAATATAGATGAAATTTTCTTCATCTGTCTCCTCTCTTTCAGCACTGACAGACTTCTAAGATTCCAAGAGGACATAGGAAGCTATCAGATGCATTTTTTTTTATAATTCCCACCTGTAGGCTCCACCCCTCCTACAAAGTGATTTTTCCAGGATGTGTTATGTGGTTTTGGAAATTGTATTGCTAATTTCAGGCCTTCACTTTGTAAAACTTCCTGTCCTGTTCATCTCTCTTTCCAGAACTTAGCTCACTACCAGACAGTTAAGGAACCAGTTATAGGTGCAGGGTCCTGTCTTCTGCACATCTCTATTCGCCTGGCTATAATAATAAATAGCACTACAAACTACATCCATAATAATAGCATCATCATCATAATGTATGTGTATATAATATTTACAAGGTGCCAGGAAATTATTATATAAATTAACTCTTTTCCTTTCATATTATGACACTTATTTTACAGATGAGGACATGAAATCTGTTGAGCTTAATGAATGAAGGAATGGAAAGTTACTAAATGTAATTAAATGGATTGCCTTGAGACAAGTCCTCCAACGGTGAGAATATGGAGTCCGGAAAGATACTTGGGAGTGAGAGGGTGGGAATGGGAGAGGACCTGTCTTAAATCACTTTGGTGACATAGTGCTCTCAACTCACAGAGTTTTTCAGGAATGTTTCCATTATGGTGTTGCTGCAAACAACTCTGCTCCAACATTTTTCTGATTTTAAGGAGTTCAAGGAGTGGGGGGAGGTTGTAAACACATTTACCCAGCTGAGGGAAGTTATGTGGAAGGGTTACAACTCTGCAATCCAAGGATCCTAAGGGATGTATGTGAGATGAATAGAGGATGCCAGCCTAACCAGCTCTAGGAGGCTGTGGGACCATGCTGGGCCAGGTAGCTCCTCTTGTCCTCGGGGTCTCTCTATGAGTTTGCTACTTAGCAAGTTACCACAAACTTAGCAGCTTAAAACAACACACGTATTACCTCATGGTTTCTGTGAATCTGGAGCCTAGGAATGGCTTCTCAGGATCTCACAAGGCTAGAGTCAGAGTGTTGAGCAGCCTGCATTCTCATCTGGAGGGGAAGACAGCACCTCCTAGCTCACTCAGCTGCTGTCAGAATTCAGTGCCTTATAGCTGCAGGCCGGAGGCCCACGGCTGCTTGCTGGTTGTTGGCTGGTAGCGGCCCTCAGTTCCTTGCCACGTGGGCTTTGCCCTTACCTCTTCAAAGTCAGTGAGGGGATTTCTAGAGTCAGTATACCAGCAAGATGAAATCTTGTATATTCTACTATAATCCCCAAAGAGACATTCCATTACCTTTGCCATGTTCTACTGCTAGAGTTAATAGGTCCAACCCACCCTCAAGCTGAGGACATGAGTTCCAGAGGATGGGATTGTTGAGGACCACCTGACAACCTATGTGCCACAGGAGCCTCTGGAAGAGAGCTCCATGGGGTTAGGCAGAGCTCGCCCAGCATGTGAGCAGGTGAGATCATAGGCCTTGTCCAACTTGCTCTTAGAGGCATCTTGTGTCTAAAGCAGTGCCCACTCCTTGGCTAAAGTCTGTGAATGACCAAGTGAATGCCTTCTGGTATCACTCCTGATGTAAAGAAAGGGAATAAACATGATAGGCGGGCATGAGGCCAGAAAATATGCTTGCCTTTAATGTGATGGGAAAAGCCTGGTTCTAAACTACTATTCACTCCCAGTTAACTCATCTGTTTTCTATAGCAGAAGGTCATGGTGAAGAATTATTTAGGAAATTGAGCCAGGAGATAAGGGAGGAGGAAAAAGATCTTGTGTGAAGACATCTTTTTTAGCGGACAAAGCCCCTCCTTTGAGGGATCTGATGCCTGGGTACCTGGGTTGTTGTAGTCAACAGTGCTCTTCAGAAGCTTTGGAGGTGCTATAAAAATGTTAACAAGAGTGCTATGCCTTTCTTTCTCAAGTACTTTTAAATCATAAACCCTCAGGAATGATTTTCTTTGAATCTCAATCTCCAGGTAGCAACACCAGGCATAAAGAGGAAAGAAATAGAAAGAGATTAAAATGAGAAGGAAAGGGTTTTGTTTTGTTTTGTTTTTTCATTAAGGTGGCTCCAAGATCCAGCCAAAGATTAATGCCACATACTGCTTAGAGCCACTGAGTATTTGTTCCTCCCCGAGCATTTCCTGATGGGGCCAATCACATTGGACTAAATTTGAGCCAGATGGTGAAGCCATTGGAGTGGAAGCATGTAGGATGGAAAGACAAATGTGTAGGACACTTTCAAGATATGATCTTTGCCATTAACTTAAAACATGCAAAAACCAGACAGAATTTGGTTGATAAATGGCCCCCTGCTGGACAAATTTCGATGTTCAAAGTACTGGTTGTTGGTGTGTCCATGTGCAAGTGTGTGTGTGTGCACGGGGGGAGATACAGGCAGTAGGGAGGGCATGCCCAGCATCATTTTCTATAAATTACATAATGAGGAAGGAGAGGGATGAGGAGCTCTTTAAGAAGGGAGAGAAAACACTGGACTGCTCCTGCACAGAGCCCGAAGTGTGTGAGGCAAAATACAGAGATCTGAGCTCAGCAGATTTCCTAAACTCCGATGGCACAGAAACTTCCTAATGGGATAAAGGATCTATTCACAGGCGAGCCTCCACAGAAATATATGGATCAGAACACATTGTATAACTAAGAGATAGCCCTTGCAGTCAGGCCAGGAAAAGGTCTCATAAGGAGGGAGGAAGGGATTGAGTCCCAAGAAGAAACAGTGGCCACAGAAAATAGAAAACAGAGAAGCAGTGAATAACCACTGTCACCTTCCCACTCATGACATGGAGCTGCTATTTGCACCAGGGGGTTTCTGACATACAATCCTTGTCCTCCGTGTCACTGGCAAATCAAGCTAAATTATTAGGGGCTCCTGGGATTGAGTGACCCAGTCAATAGCTGGAGGTCTGAGGGCATTTTTTTAAAGATTTTATTTATTCATTTGGGAGAGACAGAGCACAAGTGGGGAGAGGGGCAGAGGGAGAAGGAGAAGCAGGCTTCCTGCTAAGGAGAGAGCCTGACACTGGGCTCGATCCCAAGACCCCAGGATCATGACCTGGGCTGAAGGCAGAGGCTTAACTGACTGAGCCACCAGGTGCCCCTGAAGGCATTTTTAAAAACCTTGTTCCTTTTCCTCCTCTCCCTGACTCGTGGTGGATGATGAGATAGGCTATTTATTTCTACCATGTTCCCATTATGCCTGGATGAAGTGCTTGGATGGAAGGCCTCAAAACATGTTCTTTGTGTAAAACACACAACATCTTCTTCTCCCAACTAACCAAGTAGGGAGCAGAGAAACACTTAGAACCTCCTCAAGTGCTGGCTTATCAAGCCAATGTTCGTGATGATACATGATCTTCAAAGAAGTGGTATTTGAACTTTGTTGAAATGCACGGGGCTATGAAAACTTTTCTCAAGAAACAGAATGTACAATGGCCAACATTTTACAAACTAATTGGGGACAGTCAGAATTCCTGGAGCTGGCTGCAAGGTCCATAGTCACCACGAGTTTCTCCCTTAGCTCCCCGTGGGAAAGCCTTTGAGATCCTGGCTGTGCCGCATTCTTTGAGTACACCATGAGGAGAAAGACTACATAATGAGCTTAATGGACTTAAATATTAACTGGAACTTTAAGCAGAGTGTCATGCATGCCAGGGATGCTCAGAAAGGCCCAAAAGCGAGGGAGAAGACGATGTCAGAGCTTGAAGTGAGAGCTTTTGGTGGACACAGTGATGACAAGAAGGAGGTGGAGGAAAAAGTGGGAAAGAGGAAAGAACACAAAGATGGTAAGTAGGTGTCACCCTTGGGGCGTAGGCACAGGACAGAGCTATGACAATGTGGAAGTGCTATTTTTGTGCTTAAGAAACACAAGTGAGGAAAAAGTCAAAGGAGGGAAAATGAGCCGATCTGGGACTTGAGCAGGCTATGAAACAGATTTCCATTTTGGCATTTAAGATAATCCAATTTACCCATCTCTGGCCAAGATTATATAAAACGTCACTAAAATCTGTCCTCTGAGCTGACAAAACAACCAAGTCTTTTCTGGGCAACCCTCCTCCCCCTTTAACATTTGACCATAATCTCTTTTTTGGACAAAGACAGCAGACCTCAGGTCAGACTTTTGCAGGCAAAAATATACAGGCTGAACTTAATAATATTGTTTAGTCCCCATTACATTTATATTTTACACTTAAATTCTATCACCAGAGAGGTAACAAGTGTCTGTTTATCTTTTAAAATTAAGCTGTATAAAAAAATGAGTTAATTTAAAGAAAACATTAGGGAATAATGATGGGTGATATTTGAATATGCAAAAAATATGCAGGCAAGTTGCAAGTGACTGAAATTTGGAAAATTTTATTTTATTTCATTTAATCCTTCCAATAAATCTGTAAGGTAGGTTTCATTGAACACATGTTTTGTTTTGTTTTTCCATTAAGTTTTTGTATTACTCCAGTCACTTAACATACAATGTTCTATTAGTTTCAGGTATATGATATAGTGATTCAAAACTTCCCTACATCACTCTGTGCTCATCACAACAAGTGCACTCCTAATCCCTATCACCTGTGTCACCCATCCCCCCATCTTCCCCTCTAGTGACCATGTTTGTTATCCACAGTTAAGAATCTGTTTCTTGGTTGGTCTTTCTCTCTCTCTCTCTCATTTTTTTTCCTTTGCTAGTTTGTTTGTTTGTTTGTTTTTGCTAGTTTGTTTTGTTTCTTAAATTCCACATATGAAATCATACTACTTATCTTTCTCTGACTGACTTATCTTGCTTAGCATAATATACTCTAGCTCCATTGGTTCCAGGCTTTGAAGACTTGGTTTTTTAATTCTGGACAGGAGGCCTCAGCCGTGACTATGTTACGCCAGATCATTGGTCAGACCAAGGAGCATCCAAGCTTGAGCCCCTTCTTCTTATTTATTGGGGCAGGAGGTACTGGAGCAGCAATGTATGTCTTGCACTTGGCATTGTTCAATCCAGATATCAGTTGGGATAGGAAGAATGATCCAGAATTCTGGAACAAACTGGGTCCTAATGATCAATACAAATTCTATTTGGTGAATGTAGATTACAGCAAACTTAAGAAAGGAGGTCCAGACTTCTAAATGAAATGTTTCACTATAAAGTTGCTTAGAATGAAGGTCTTCCAGAAGCTATCTGCACAGTTTTCCACTTATTCAGGAACTATTTCCCCTTTAAATGCATGAAATCATATTGGTGTATTGTGTTGGGGTTTACATTGAATAATAAATATCTGAAACTTGGCGGGGGGGACACTCTAGCTCCATCCAAGTGGTTAAAAATGGCAAAATTTCATTATTTTTGATGGTTGAATAATATTCCATTATACATATCATTATATATATACCACATCTTCTTTATCCATTCATCAATCGATGGACACTTGGGCTGCTTCCATGTCTTGGCTATATTTTGTAAATAATGCTGCTATAAGCATTGGGTACATGTATCTCTTTGAATTAATGTTCTTGTATTCTTTGGGTAAATATCTAGTATTTACCCACACCTAGTATTTAATCACACCACAGTGTGATTCCTGGACCATAAGGTAGTTCTATTTTTAACTTTTTTAAAAAAGATTTTATTTTTAAGTACTGTCTATATCCAAAATGGGGCTTGAACTTACAACCCTGAGATCAAAAGTCACATGTTCCACTGACTGAGCCAGCCAAATGCCTTCTATTATTAACTTTTTAAGGAACCTCCATACTGGTTTCCAGAGTGGCTGACAGCAGTTTGCATTCCTACCAAGAGTATATGAGGGTTCCTTTTTTATCCACAGCCTCACCAACACCTGTTGTTTCAGCCATTCCAACAGGTGTGCGATGATATCTCATTGTGGTTCTGATTTGCATTTTCCTGATGGTAAATGATGATGAGCATCTTTTCATGTGTCTATTGGCCATCTGGATGTCTTCTTTGGAGAAATGTCTGTTCATGTCTTTTACCCATTTTTTCATTAGGTTATTTGTTTTTTGGGTGTTGAGTTGTATAAGTTCTTTATATATTTTGGATACTAACCCTTCATCGCGTAAGTCATTTGCAAAAGTCTTCTTCTGTTCCATAGGTTGCCTTCAAGTTTTGTTGATGAACATATGTTAATGAAGAAGAAACTGAGGCTTCATATTTGTTCAAAATCACCCATCTTGTTATCTGCAGAACCAGAATTCACATGTTGGTATGTCTGGCCGCAAAGTTTTTGCTCTTAACTGCAAAACAATACCACTTATTCTTCAGGCCCATAGCAGCTTTTTGAGTAGAAAAAGGTAAATGCTTGGAGGAAAACACTTCACATATGGGAATGTGATTAAGGAGGCTAACACAGCTTGGTAGGTGAAAAATCATTTCTTTAGTCAATCCATATACTTGTAGTGAATGTCTGCTATTTGCTAGCCAATAAACTTTGTACTACATTACAATTTTTCTGGGAGTAACCAGAGACATTAGTTCCCAGATTAGAAAAACAAAAATCAAACAAAGCAAAACAGAACACAAAAACAGGGAGATTTCTTTTTCCATGGAGATCACCAAGTGCCTTGAGAATGAAATAAATATCAAGGGTTCACCAAGACCTGTCTGCAGCAAAGTGTGCTGACCTTTTCCTCTGGATCAGAATGGAAATATTAACCATCTTCTCTACAGAGGAACACTGCACCATAACTATTTTTAAGGCATGGAACTTTAAAGAGAAAGGTAGGAGGTTCACTCATATCCAATCTCTGAGTTTCTGAGTGTGAGATTCTTAGTGTTGGCAACGGTTTCCCAGTAATTTTGCCAGAAAAGTCATTGCAGTCTTTTGAAGACTTTACCTAGGAAGACTGCCAAGACAGAAAATTCAAACTTCAACAGGGACCAGAATCCTGCTCACTCCTGCTTCCCCCACCCCACCCCCACCACATATTGTCATCTATTATAAAAAGAGGTGGTCTAAGAACTTAAACCTGCTGGTTCACAACTGGCCACAGGACGATGAACAATTCCTAAACTCCCAAAGTACCAGAACAGCAGCAAGAAAAAGGGAATCAAATGCTTCTCTGCAAATTCTGGCTTTTTATGGGGCCCTCAATTAGGAGCCATGTCCACAAGGCATCCACAGAAGTCCTGCCTTAGCAACCCAACCATGGAAACCCCCCCTCCCCACCCTTCACCGATCCTGGGAATCTTAAAGACCTTCTCCCTCATCAGCTGGATAAAAGAAATAGAGTTTGCTGCTGAACAGAAGCCCTCTGTGTGTGGCCATTTTGGGAGTTTCCTTTTACTTCTTTTATGCGAAGGGTTCCCAACTTTTTGGGGGAGCACCTGAAAAATTTTGATTAAATATTGCCTGAGCATCGGTCTCTATCCTGCAGTATCTCAGTACTAACTGCCACTCTTCAGGGCCAGAATTTCCTTTGCCTAAGCAAACATGATTATTTGGGTTTCTATCACACCATGCTGTCCACTCAATTGATAGATCCAGAGAGTTTAGCCATAAGAAGCACTTTTTAGTATCCTTCAAAAAATGTTGGTAACCACCACATGATCACATCTATTCCCTTGATAATTGGTTGAGATAATATAGAATGACAAAAAATATGAAATAAGGCATCCTTCTAAATTAAACCCCAAAGTAACCACATACGTTTTTAAAAATAAAGTATATATGTCTGAGGCGGATCATTTATTCAGTGTGATGAACAAATCAATTCTCAGAAAAATGTCTCCCCAAGGAATCTCCAGTCTACAGACTGAAAACCATTATATTATGTTACGAGCTCCTTGCTATGATTTGTTCAGCTTCATATAACCTGATGGCTTACCCAGTGCTAGCCCATAGCAGGTGCTTAGAGAGAAAACAGGTATTTGGGCGGAGTTTTATTTTAGCTAGCACTGGTAAGTGCTCAGTGACATTCATGTGCCAGGCACTGTTCTAAGCACTGTATATGTATTAACTCATGTCACCATCAAATGACCCTGGGGGGTAGATGTTATTACCACCCATATTTTACAGATGACAAAATGGAGGCTCCGAGATCTTCAGTAATTCATTCAAAGTGCAAAGAATTAAAAAAACCAGGATACAAAGTAAGATTTTATTATTTTCCATGCCTTTATATATAACTTCATGGAGTCCATGGCTATGGGGATTCAATGGCCTTGGACCCTGCTGACCAATCATGGGAAGAGAATGCTCTTTGGGCACCCCTGTTCCATAAGAGGAGCAATGAATGTCCTTTAGGAAGAAGTCTCTAGGCTACAAAGAAACAGTTTCACAAACTTGTATCACAGCATGATCTGGCCTGATGTATTCCATACAGTAAGCTCTCACTTGGTGCAAGGGATTCCTAAGGGATTATAGGAATGAATGATTGAATAGATTAATATTCATATCTGGAGGAAGACTTTAAATGACATCAATTACCTTTCTGGCCAGGAGGTTTGTGCCTACACCGTAAGCCCTTCCATGACAGAAAGGTCATGTCAGGGCTTTAGTTCTAGTGGTTGGAGAATGAGAAACCATATGTAAAATAGACAAAAACACAAGGCAGTGAGGCAGGGAGGCAGGGACTGGCTCCATACGATCAGCCTGAGTACCATGTCCCTTCAGCTCCGTGCACATGGAGTGCAGGTCCTAGGGGAGCTGCAAAAAGAAACGTGGCTGTGTCCTGCCGTCCAGGAGCTCATGATGAATAGGAACAGTTGAAACATGCACATCAGTGAGCACAATACGAGCCAAAATGTGATCTGTGCTTTAAAAAACCCAACCAAACCACCACCACCACAACAACAACAACAAAAAACCAAACACAGACAAAGATTTGAACTAAGTGTTCTAGGAGCACAGACCAGGGCCCAATGACTTCCAGCTCAGGGAAGCAGGAAATGCCAACTTCTGAACTAGCTGAATTTTGGTTTAATAGAGATTAGAGGGGAAGAACTTTCTACATAAGGGAAACTCTCTCGAGATGTGGCAGGGAGGGCAGCAGGAGGAGGACTGGCAGTTCATTCTGGCTGATTAAACAGTAGTTGCACACCGGCCAACTCCTGGCTAATCTTTATTTGGCGACTACATGACTGCATTTAAAAACAAAGAAGTGTTACTGGAATGCTCTGAGCAAAGACATGGGCTTTGTATCAGTCGTTGGGGTCCTCCACTATCTGGCTTTTCCATCTAGTCACATATTCATGTTACCTGCTGTCTCTGCAGCTTTAGGATGGGGAACTCTGCACTGAAACAGGGGCCTGTCAGGAGACTTGGGGGTAGGCAGGCATTTTTAACCTGGAGTGAAGGCAGAGGAGGAGTGGGTAAGGGAGGGTGTGTGTGGAGGGAGGTTGAATTTGATAGGGGAAAAAATGCCTTTATTTTCACTGGCTTCTAACTGAAACTTAGCATCTCCTTCCATTGTGAATGTGGGCAAAGAACCATAAGACTATTAGCAGCATGCGTTACTTCCTCACCAATAAAACTCACAGAGTTATTTCCTTTCACATGACATTTGCAGACATCATAAACTATCATTTTGCTCGTCAGTACTTTGAAACTATGGTAGTTATGAGATATATGTCATGAGTTAAGAAAGAACATAAATGGTTATATCACAAACTGTATAGGTATTTTGCTATAATTTCCATATAATCGGTTTCCTTTGTACTCCAATGTGTTTTGTCTTAGGTATTTAAAAACATTACTCTCAAAAGGAGCCCATGGTTTTTACCAGACCACCAAAAGGGTCCATAACATAAAGTAGGTTAATAACCATTGCTGAAGGTAGCTTGGGGCCATAGAGAAGAGAGATTTAAATACCTACTTCAGCAGTGTGAATTTAGTCTTATAGATAAATGGAAGCCACTGAAGAGTTTTGTTTTTAGTGCCAATTATTACTTTATTGAGAAGTAATCAAAAGCTGATTATACCATCATTATTTTTAATCAGTTGTATTGAGATATAACTAAGTGCATCCCTTTTAAGTGTAAAGTCAGTGAGTTTTGAAGTGTGTATGTGTGATACACACATGTAGCTACTACTACAATCAAGACTCAATTTGAGTAGTAGAAAATAAAGTTCCAGAATTATGCATCCTGTTTTCCCATCCTCGAGAGATCC